CGGGCGAAGCCCGCCGCCGTGCAGCAGGACTTTTGCCAGCACCCTCGTGACGTTGCAGATATGTGGCTTGATTATTGTAGTTGACGTTGATTTAGTGACTTTGGCAAGTTTGAGTCGTGTCAAGAAGTCAGGTAGGATTCAGTACTAGGCAGTAGTGAAACGTGAGTGGCAGTCTTTGCCGGTTTCTGAGGGCATCCTGGATTTGGTGTGCAGCGCTGTGGAAATGGCTTGCTGTGGAGGTCCCAGCACTGGATGTTGTATCAAAGGTACGACCTCGTAGCACGTGCCAAACCTAAAAAAATTCAAAAATTGACTTGGGTCTGTGGGAGTCCGTGAAAGAACGCCCACTCGTTCCGTTGTGACAGATTCCAGGGCCACGTTGAGGGGCCCTACCCCACCACCCATGGCTGCTTCTGGACTTGTTTTAGGTTTGGGTCCCGCGCACGGACAGAATGGGCACGAAAATGTGAAAAAAATGTAAATGCATTTGTTTGGCTCCTGGGTGGCTCGCACACCGTAGCACTATGCCGGAAATTTGAGTTTTTCCGGCCTGGAAAGCCTGTCAGTGAGGCGCAAGAACTTGTAAATCATGTCCTGAGGGCCAGCATAGTGGCAGGAGTGTGTGGTCAAAATTTCACTCAAATCCACTGAGAAACACCAAAGTTACGGTCAATTGAATGCCATATGAAATTTTTGGGTGATGTGCCCCCTTAAGGGGGCACATCACCCAAAAATTCGCTGAAAAATCGAATTTGTAAATTCATATTGAGTGCTACGTCAGTTGAAAGAGCATGAATAGCTGCAAATTCTCTGAAAACTGTGTCCCTATCTGACCAGCCGTTCAAGAGTTATGGCCGAAAATGTGCCCTTGCAAGGAAAGATTTTTTTGTTGCATGCTGTCATTTGTTGGCAGCACTGTATTTGAATGTGAGCAGACCGTGCGCAACTTGTCGTATTATGGAAACACGCGAAAGTGTGCAGAATTTTGCCCCAAGTCCAAAAAAGTCCAAAAAATCACGTTAAAAAACCACGTATTGGGCTGCACGGCGGCGGGCGAAGCCCGCCGCCGTGCAGCAGGACTTTTGCCAGCACCCTCGTGACGTTGCAGATATGTGGCTTGATTATTGTAGTTGACGTTGATTTAGTGACTTTGGCAAGTTTGAGTCGTGTCAAGAAGTCAGGTAGGATTCAGTACTAGGCAGTAGTGAAACGTGAGTGGCAGTCTTTGCCGGTTTCTGAGGGCATCCTGGATTTGGTGTGCAGCGCTGTGGAAATGGCTTGCTGTGGAGGTCCCAGCACTGGATGTTGTATCAAAGGTACGACCTCGTAGCACGTGCCAAACCTAAAAAAATTCAAAAATTGACTTGGGTCTGTGGGAGTCCGTGAAAGAACGCCCACTCGTTCCGTTGTGACAGATTCCAGGGCCACGTTGAGGGGCCCTACCCCACCACCCATGGCTGCTTCTGGACTTGTTTTAGGTTTGGGTCCCGCGCACGGACAGAATGGGCACGAAAATGTGAAAAAAATGTAAATGCATTTGTTTGGCTCCTGGGTGGCTCGCACACCGTAGCACTATGCCGGAAATTTGAGTTTTTCCGGCCTGGAAAGCCTGTCAGTGAGGCGCAAGAACTTGTAAATCATGTCCTGAGGGCCAGCATAGTGGCAGGAGTGTGTGGTCAAAATTTCACTCAAATCCACTGAGAAACACCAAAGTTACGGTCAATTGAATGCCATATGAAATTTTTGGGTGATGTGCCCCCTTAAGGGGGCACATCACCCAAAAATTCGCTGAAAAATCGAATTTGTAAATTCATATTGAGTGCTACGTCAGTTGAAAGAGCATGAATAGCTGCAAATTCTCTGAAAACTGTGTCCCTATCTGACCAGCCGTTCAAGAGTTATGGCCGAAAATGTGCCCTTGCAAGGAAAGATTTTTTTGTTGCATGCTGTCATTTGTTGGCAGCACTGTATTTGAATGTGAGCAGACCGTGCGCAACTTGTCGTATTATGGAAACACGCGAAAGTGTGCAGAATTTTGCCCCAAGTCCAAAAAAGTCCAAAAAATCACGTTAAAAAACCACGTATTGGGCTGCACGGCGGCGGGCGAAGCCCGCCGCCGTGCAGCAGGACTTTTGCCAGCACCCTCGTGACGTTGCAGATATGTGGCTTGATTATTGTAGTTGACGTTGATTTAGTGACTTTGGCAAGTTTGAGTCGTGTCAAGAAGTCAGGTAGGATTCAGTACTAGGCAGTAGTGAAACGTGAGTGGCAGTCTTTGCCGGTTTCTGAGGGCATCCTGGATTTGGTGTGCAGCGCTGTGGAAATGGCTTGCTGTGGAGGTCCCAGCACTGGATGTTGTATCAAAGGTACGACCTCGTAGCACGTGCCAAACCTAAAAAAATTCAAAAATTGACTTGGGTCTGTGGGAGTCCGTGAAAGAACGCCCACTCGTTCCGTTGTGACAGATTCCAGGGCCACGTTGAGGGGCCCTACCCCACCACCCATGGCTGCTTCTGGACTTGTTTTAGGTTTGGGTCCCGCGCACGGACAGAATGGGCACGAAAATGTGAAAAAAATGTAAATGCATTTGTTTGGCTCCTGGGTGGCTCGCACACCGTAGCACTATGCCGGAAATTTGAGTTTTTCCGGCCTGGAAAGCCTGTCAGTGAGGCGCAAGAACTTGTAAATCATGTCCTGAGGGCCAGCATAGTGGCAGGAGTGTGTGGTCAAAATTTCACTCAAATCCACTGAGAAACACCAAAGTTACGGTCAATTGAATGCCATATGAAATTTTTGGGTGATGTGCCCCCTTAAGGGGGCACATCACCCAAAAATTCGCTGAAAAATCGAATTTGTAAATTCATATTGAGTGCTACGTCAGTTGAAAGAGCATGAATAGCTGCAAATTCTCTGAAAACTGTGTCCCTATCTGACCAGCCGTTCAAGAGTTATGGCCGAAAATGTGCCCTTGCAAGGAAAGATTTTTTTGTTGCATGCTGTCATTTGTTGGCAGCACTGTATTTGAATGTGAGCAGACCGTGCGCAACTTGTCGTATTATGGAAACACGCGAAAGTGTGCAGAATTTTGCCCCAAGTCCAAAAAAGTCCAAAAAATCACGTTAAAAAACCACGTATTGGGCTGCACGGCGGCGGGCGAAGCCCGCCGCCGTGCAGCAGGACTTTTGCCAGCACCCTCGTGACGTTGCAGATATGTGGCTTGATTATTGTAGTTGACGTTGATTTAGTGACTTTGGCAAGTTTGAGTCGTGTCAAGAAGTCAGGTAGGATTCAGTACTAGGCAGTAGTGAAACGTGAGTGGCAGTCTTTGCCGGTTTCTGAGGGCATCCTGGATTTGGTGTGCAGCGCTGTGGAAATGGCTTGCTGTGGAGGTCCCAGCACTGGATGTTGTATCAAAGGTACGACCTCGTAGCACGTGCCAAACCTAAAAAAATTCAAAAATTGACTTGGGTCTGTGGGAGTCCGTGAAAGAACGCCCACTCGTTCCGTTGTGACAGATTCCAGGGCCACGTTGAGGGGCCCTACCCCACCACCCATGGCTGCTTCTGGACTTGTTTTAGGTTTGGGTCCCGCGCACGGACAGAATGGGCACGAAAATGTGAAAAAAATGTAAATGCATTTGTTTGGCTCCTGGGTGGCTCGCACACCGTAGCACTATGCCGGAAATTTGAGTTTTTCCGGCCTGGAAAGCCTGTCAGTGAGGCGCAAGAACTTGTAAATCATGTCCTGAGGGCCAGCATAGTGGCAGGAGTGTGTGGTCAAAATTTCACTCAAATCCACTGAGAAACACCAAAGTTACGGTCAATTGAATGCCATATGAAATTTTTG